CAGGCTGGTGTTTGGGCAGGGGACATCCCTATCAGTGATTCCAAGTAAGTTTGCATGTTGTCTGTGGAGCGGTGGTTCTCAACCTTCCTGACGCTGTGACCCTTTAATACAGTTCCTCATGTTGTGGACAGCCTGCAACCCTCAAATTCTTTTCATTGATGCTTCATAACTGTAATTTTCTACTGTTATGAAATGTAATGCAAATACCTGATATCCAGGGTATCTGATATGCGACCCCGTGAAAGGGGTCATGATCCACGGCTTGAGAACCGCTGCTGTGGAATATAGTGGGATCCATAGTCATAAACGTGGAGCTCAGGGACAGGGTGGGTGAGGACGCAAAGCTGAAGGAGTCGAGGTCTATTTACTCTGGTCAGCATAAGAGGTCAAAGAGCAGCAAGTGTAAGGTCAGTCCTTAAAAGGTGTCGCGGAGAGTGTGGGCTTTGATGGTGGCGACTAAAGGCCGCCTGTGGTCTACTGCTGCCTTCTCCCCAAATACGGAGATACTTAAGGTGGAGGGAGTGATGGGCATGAGAGAGTTGAGGGTCTGGGGAGTGAGGTAGAGTGGGGCATAGCAGCGTGGTCCTAGCTTCAGTCTAGATTAGCGCAGAGAGTTTAATAAAGAAATAAAATCCTCCCAGAGCCAAGAGATTTCATAAGGAAGGAGTCCTGGGTTTATAGTATGTTTCAGAATCATATAATCAACAAGAGAAAAACTAAACCTTAAAAGAAAAAATTTAAATACCCAAGCATAAAACAATGGCCACACCTAAATTAGGCAGTAAGCCAGAGCAAATGCCTATCAGCCATCCTTCTAGTCCCCTCCCAAGAGGAAGCCACCTTCCAGCAGCAACTTCCTCCTTCTGATTCCCTTGCCAAGTGTCCCGACAGGGAAAGTGACAGACAGCCTGTCCCTTCCCACTTGCCCACATGGGGAGCCCAGGTGTAGACTCTAGCTCTGACTTCTGCTGGTTTTTGTTGAGGTTCCTGTCACAGTGGAACACAGGTTACCAGAACTTCTATTTTGGGACAGGGACAAGTTTGACTGTTGTTCCAAGTAAGTGAAAAAAAATGTTCTTCCCGTTGCCATCTGTAAATCCTGAACCTACAGAAGGAGCTATCCAAAGTTTGCTACTCGGTTCCCCTGCTCCTGGGTAGAATGTTGTCAGGAACATTGCAAGGGCCCCTTGCCTTCCTCCAAGGATGGCCTATGCCAGGACAGGTCTTAATTCCTGAGGGAGGAGAACAGACAATGGATGCTTGCAGCAGTCACCTTTGCTCTTGCCCGCTCCCCAAGAGGGCCGTGACCTGAGACATCAGTCTCCACCACAGGGACTCACCTCGGGGACAGAGGTGGAAGGGACCACCCAACTGAGGGAAGAGGGGCAGAGGCCAGAGAGAACAAGAGGGAACCTCACAGAAAACTGCAATGTGGGAGCTGTCAGGGCATGAGAAGCATGGCAGGGGTCCCCGGCTTGTATCTTAGGCATAAGTGTGAACTGAAAGCACCCAGACTGGAAAAGGGGTTCCCGTCCTCTCGAAGACAAACTTAGCAGAAAGTCACCCGCCAGGCGCTCCCGATGACAGCCTGTAGTCTCCGCCGATGCAGCAGGCGGTGTGAGGAAACAGTTGTGCAAGTGTGGAGGGAGGAGGCTCACAAGAAACTTACGAGGGCTTTCAGGGAGAACACAGAGTTGGCACGGGGGGATTTTGTAATGGCGTGGCACACTGTGCCAATATGGAAACAAGAAAATAGCTTTCGGGGCTGGAACCAGGCTCACCATTCAACCCAGTAAGTACTTCATCCTAGTCCAGAAACCAGCCTGTTAGATTTTAGGGATCCAACCGGACTATACAGGCTTAGGGAAATTCCATGTCCTTTTCCACTATTGGCAAAGAGAGGTGGCAGCCAAGTATCTGAGTTTTTTGGGGGAAAACTCCAGTCATGAATATTTAATTCATAACTAGAAAATGTGATTCACGATTCTGTTTTTGCTGCTGGTGTCATGTGCCATGTGAAGAGAATTTAGAATGCCTGCGCATCTCCTCCTCTATCTTGTGTGATGATTCTGACTTTGGCTGCTGGAAGTGTTGGGAAGAAACGGTAGAAACATAAGCTATCAAAGAGACTCACAGGAGATGCAGGGATGCAGGCAGAGAACTCCTGGAAGAACCATGATATAGAATCAATCCAGTGTTGTGTCTCATTTACAGATGGCAAAGACACTGGGAAGGGTGGGAACACAGATGCTCTGGGAGAGGCAGAAGTACCTAAGGTGGGAAAGTGAAGCACCAAACGCGAAGGAAAAAAGCTAAATTATGGGAAATTCCAGTTTCTTCCCCTCCCCCAAAATGAGCCTGTCTGTGTGGCAGCAATACGCTTTTAGTTCATCACACTGCCTTTGAGAGCATGCTACACATCAGCACTGTGGTGCGGTCCATAGTTAGAAACTGGAGATTTACCTTGAAAACATCACCACCTCTGTGGGCCGTGCTGCATACTATTTGGTGTCTAGATTTACAAAACTGACATCTAGATTGAACTGCTGAAAACTGATGTGCGAGATAAAGACAATAGCCAGCTACAAAGGCACGCTGTATGCACAGAGCGATGTGCACACATGAGGCAGATAGAGTCCCGCCTGCAGTTACAACTTGCAAAGGTTAAATGTCTTCACCATGCTCCCAAAGGCAGCCTCGTAAAGCAGAAAGCCGTAGGAGGGAGCAAGAACTAGGGATGGAACCTCTCCCTAGGGATGATACCCGGGATTTCCCAGCTGTCTAGACCACTTTGTTCCCTAGGGAATTCTCTGTTTCTCTGCATTGAAAACCAGAAGCCTGAGTCCTGGGGGTCTGGATGGCTCAGACTCTTACAGTGAGACTTACACTACCATCACCTTCCAGCCACGCTGGATAAGGCACTTTTAGATAACAAGGTTTTTTTTTTCTTTTCTTTTCTTTTCTCTCTAGATAAGGCAGGAAAATGGTTTCCTCACTCTGAATGTAGGGACAGGTGGCTCAGAGTTCTAAAGAATGTCAGCAGCAGAGCTCAGCCATGGAAGTGGGGGACCCAATAATTGTCAGCCTGCTCCCTGATGCTGAAGTTGCTGGAAACTTCAGAAAATTGTCTCAAAGTGAGACCATAGTACACCCAGGAGAAACGCTACCAAGAGCAAACTTGGAATAGGATGTCCCCAGAAGGGGACAGATTGCCTGTAAGCCAGCTCACAGCTCCAGACATTCGAACACCATGCTGAAACCATAATAAGTTCACCCTCAAAAGAGGCGGTCCTGAGATGGTCAGGAGGAGACAGTGACTGGGGTTGGAGATGGAGGACATTCCAGCAGAGTGGAATTATGGAGAACAGGAGGACCTGATCGGATTAATGAGACATAAGGCAACTCTGACTAGAGGGCTAGGGAAGTCCTGGGAGAAAAGAAGCCGTGAATCCTGGGGGGCTGCAGCATTTATCTGGTCCAGGCAGTGAGCAAACAGGAGCCACATTCTGAGGAGTCGTCAGAGTCTGTAATTAGAATAATGCCTTTAGCTTTCTGGGCAAATACC